CAGCTCCACACGAAACAAACTGTCTTTCGACCATGGCTTACGTATCGACAATTTCATGTCAGGAGCTGAGAGTGCGACCTTCATGTCTCGCTGAGTGGCGCGGTGCGTCCCGCTTGCGCCCGTCTTGCCTGCGCACACAGCGGGGGGTCCGGGGGGAGGGGGAATGGGACCGCCGCCGTCTGCTACCGCGGAGTGGGTTTCAGTGTCCCGATGATGTACACCGCTCCACTTCACCCGCTACCGACTCAACCTCCACTGATAACAGATTCGACAGGGTACGTTGCTTCCCGGACATGGATACTCCCCTAATCTCTACAGAGAAAAATATGTATTGCGCGTTAGTATTCAACGTTATTCAGTTATTGATATTCATTGGTATTCACCATGATTATTCACTTATATCAATATTCTCCATCATTCAGTAAAATTTCAATTTGTATTTACGAATATTCATTTATGTTCGCTAAAATTCACGAATCGAACTATGGATATAAACTATGGATATAAGTCGTCCCGCGAAAAGACCCCTCATACATCCCCCTCCCCTTTCTCTCTCCCTCTCTCAGTTTTCAAAGTGTTCGGAAACTATCTCAACGAGAAAGAACTGAGGCCTGAGCGCGGTTTTGAGGTTCTTTGAAGAGAAAGAAGTGAAAACTTTCAGAAAACTTTGCTCCTATTATGAGGCGGTTTCCTCAAATTGCATTTATTTGTATTCAACAACTGCCCTCGCTTACAAAACATTTTACATATGTATTCGCCGCGGCCATCTGGCCTGAGTTTGCAGGTTTCCCAGTGAGAAATGGGAACGTGGATTCAACGTCGAATCGACGTCGAAATATCGTAAAGATGTGGATTTGGGGGACAATCGACTATGTCGACGTCGAATCGACATCGAATCGACGTTGAAGAAAACTCATGTTTTCTCACTGGGTTTATTAACCAGTCGTGCCAATTGGGTAAACACACCTGATGAACGCGGGCGTCACGAACGGGAGTGTGCGATTGCGCGATTAAAACTGCTGCGCTGTGCCACTTTTCCGCCAATTTATACATCGAATGAGGCAACTCGTAATTTTTTTTTTTTTTTGCCACATCGCTCCCATACGACCGTGTCCTCATCCACGACACGTGGAGCTTCGCGCACCAACATCAAAAAAAGTAACCTGAAACGCGCGTTCAGCAGCGCTTGCCCAAACACACACATACAAACACACACACACACACACACACACACACACACACACACACACACAC